AGTTTTATTTAAAAAATCAAGTTAGTGGAAAAATCCAACTTCCCACTAACTAGTGGTTTTTGAAGTGTTTCTTCAAGGCAATGACATCTATCTTTTACATGCTAGTGGAGTTTGAAGTGGAAGACATGCAAAGTTTGTCCTTGCATGTATTTGGTCTTTATATAGATGATGAAGATCACTTGGAGAAGGCTAATGCTTCCTTGCATAAGTGCAGTATTTTTCCACTCAAATTTTTATTCTTTTCTCCTACCCATTAGTGTTTTCCCTTTGCTTTCACTCAAAATTCGGTCCCACAACCGTGTTTATCAACCCAAGAATAGCACGGATTTGCCGTTGGTGGTCCCATTGAGTTAGGAGAAGAAGTTATAGTGCAGATCTTCAAAGGTATAAAGTTAGTCACTTATTCTTTACCTTTTTCATCATATTTTCCAACATACTTATTTTAGTTAAATTGCTTCATTAAGTGTATTATGATCCTTAGCTTCCACTGTGCATGTCTAAAGTTTCATCAATATATATATATACACAAAAGTGGGCCGCCTAGGATTAAAGAAAAAAAAATTTATACAACCAATTTTGACCTAGGTCAAAATTGGAGTTTTCTTCAAAAGTTTTGGAACTTATTATTATTTTTTTTGTTCTTCTTGTACCAGCCGCTGCTCACCCTCCTCTTTATTTCTATTCTTTTACTGCCAATTCAATTTTTTTCCCTTCCTCTCAAGCATGAAGCCGAAAGTTAAAATTTCTCCTCGAGAATAAGCCACAGCACAATTTTGGTTTGATTTTCTCCTCGAACTATTTATCTTTGTAAGTTAAGGTTCAAGATTCAGAAAATTTGTTTGTTTTGTTTTGTTTTGTTTGATTTATTTTTGGAAATTGTTCTTGATTGAGTCAAGAACCAGGGTAGATTAAGTCAAATATTTTATTTTGATTTTGCTGTCGAGGTAAGTGGCTCTGCCTTCAGAATGCCTTTAGGCTAGGTCGGTATTTTTATATGATGTTTTGAATGACTATATGATGATTGCTATTTGTGAATTGAATGTTATGTGAAATTGTTGTGCTGCGTCACAGAATGTTTAATTATGAGACCTCATGCATGATCTTGAATGTGAGAATGTTTTTTTTATATATAGAAGTTGTGGCAGACACCATACTGTAATGCATAGACCAGACTGAAATTGAGGGCCTAAGTGGATGAGACTTGACTCTATTGACTGGGTGCCAACTACCATCAGTTTGGGTAGAGTCTCTTAGGAAACCCACCTATGTACCATAATGGAGTTGGTATCATCTGTGTGGGGTTTGTGTTAATTGCTCACTTGATCAAAAGGAAAGGAAAGAAAAAGGAAAAAAGGAAAAGAATTTGACTAAATAAATATTTAGGTCTCACATTTTCATATTGTATGTGTATGCATACCTGACCCCGTTAGCTGGATTACTTATCGGGTATTTTTAATACTCACTCTTATTTTAAATTTTTTTAGGTAATGGCAAGAACATATGAGGCGTATGACGGGCGGTTTGCTGAGTGTGCCATGGGGACCGCGTTAGCATAATCTTGTTTCTGCATTCCATATTGAATTATGTTCAAGTGTTTTATTTTAAAATTCAGAGATAGTGTTTTCTTTTTTTTATTAATTTTTTATGGGATCCCAAATAAAGGTTTCTAACTATTTTGTAATTTATGAGATTTTTTCTATGACGTTCCTATGTGTTACCATTTTTTTTTTTTTAACTTAGAACGTCGAAAGCATGCATGTAGTAACGTCCCTAGTTAGTCTAAGTCCAAAAAGTCGGGTCGTTACAGACCTCATTCTTGACCTCAGTGCTAACTGTAGTCTTTCTTCTCAACGCCTAATGACTTCATCAGCTCGTTAAACCGGCTGACAACTAGGGCTATTAACTAACAGTCTACTGAACTATTCTTCTTTTTCTTTCCTCGACTTCCCAGCTATTGAACCTAAACTAATGGCAGATTCTCCTCATTTGTTCTGATTGTCAATGTTACTGGTTCTATCATGTCTCCCTCTGAACCATCTACAACCATGTGCATAATCCGTCTCTTTGATCCTTTGGAAACGCCAAATCTTGGCACGTACACCGAAGCTTTTATGTGGCTACAACCACTACCTTGAATCCCCACACGAGTTTCCACATATTTCTTGCAAACTCACTTCTGTAGCCTTTATCATCCAGCTTCCCTGTAGATATTAGATTCATTCTGAAACTGGGTATATACTTAAGATCATGCAAAACTAGCTCGGTCCCACCGTCGGCTCTTAAACGAACATCTCCAATTCCTCTAATCTTAAAGAGTTTGCCATTTCTCATCCTCACCACGCCATGATTCCCTGCAATGAATGACGTGAACCACCTTTTGTTTGAAGAACGTGTATTTAGGCTGCACTATCCACTACTCACTCTAATGACTGATCAACAAATGTCGCACACTCTCAACACATGCTAGCAACATATCATCAGACAAAAGATTTGTCTGTACTTCCTTTTCTTGATCCTCTTTGAGCTTCCTATAGCGCATCTTGAAGTGGCCCTTCTTATGCAGTAAAAACATTCAATATTGCCACTCCCACTCCTCTGGCCACGTCTATACTATTTACCACAATTCGTCTTCCCTTTGCCTTTGTTCAAAACTACCAAAACTAACTCCATAGAATCTCAATACTAGAAGTGGATGTGGAATTCTTTCCACTTTCTTTCCTGCAAATCTCCTGAGCAATTGCAGCATCACATATTTTTGAAAACTTTAGACTTCCATTCCTCAACGAATTCGACACAGCCGTTTTCATCGTTTCCCAACTCTCAGGTAAAGAGGACAACAACTTTATTATAGCCTTCGTTTTCTCTGCAAATGTGATTTCAATCGACTCCAATTGATGCATCAGTTTAGTGACTTCGTTTATGTGGGAGTTCACGACGTGTCTTCCTCCATATGAATGTTGAAGTATCTCGTGATGAGATACACCTTGCTGTTGAAATAAGGTTTTTCATATCTGTCCATTAACACCTTCATTAGTCCTATCACCATTGATTCATTCGCCACGAGACTTGCCACATTCATCAACAAGCATAACCTGATGATTGCTACGACTTGTTGATCCATCTTCGACCAATCCTTGTTTGTCATCCTAGCTGGTTGTTTTTTCAGAGTTTTGTGCATCTTCTTATATGTGAGAAGATGCTTCACTTGCATCTTCCAAAACTCAATATTCTCCCCTATCAAATCTCAAAATCCCTAAAGTTGGACTTTCTACTGAATCCCATGATGCTGAACCTTACAGCTCTGATACCACTTGTTGAGAAAAGTGCTTACCAAGAATCTTTTCCCTTTCCACAGTTATTTAGTGAAAAACTTCCAACCCAAAATAAGAGAATATAAGGAAAACACATAAACGACACAGAAAATTTATATTGGTTCCCCAAATAAGGCTACTTCCAGTTTTTCACGACGAGTGGGTTATACTATAATAGGATTAGTACAATGGGCATACAATATCTCTCTCTAGAGGCCTCAACAAAGGCCACCTAGCTTCTAGGAACTACAACAATATGATCCTAGGAAACAGAAATGAGAAACCTCGCAATACTCATGAGAACTGGTTGCTGACGTCGGTTTACAACATTGGGATATCGACCTTCTTCTGCTGCTAACTCATTGCCTTAACCGCCCCTTTATTATTGTGCAACAACACTCTTCAACTTCTAATACATGGCTTAAACCAAACCTAGAAGAAAAAGACATTATTAAAGAAAAAATGTTACAGTGTCGATTGACATTCGCCCGCACCTTTTTTTTCTTCAATTCGCGACAGTGTCGCGACGCTACTCGTCCAATAGGCCCTGTGTAACGCCCAAACATCCCTTTTTTCATTCTTTCTTCATCTCCATTGTTTTCGCTCCACCAATCCCAACAACTGCATAGTCTTGTCCATCTCCTTCTATGACTAGTCAACAATTCTCCTTGAATGATGGTGAACTGCTAGATGATCCTATTAAATAAAGAAGCACGATTGGTGGCTTACAATATTTTACTAATACTTATCCGAACATAGCTTACATTGTAAATAAGTTAAGCCAATTCTTAGAGGCAACCTACTGATGTTCACTGGTAAGCCACCAAGTGCATTCTTTGATATCTAAAGGGCATTGCTTATCATAGTTCGTTGATTCAAAGTAGTGATACTCTGTACATAATCGCCTTCTCTGATGCTGATTGGGGATCTAGTGTCAATGACACAAAATCACTGGTTGCCTATTGTATTTTCGTCCTCCAAAAAGCAGATGACTATTGCTCAATCAAGCACATAGAGTCAGAGTATAGCGTGCTAGCACATGTTTCAACTAATATAACTTGGATCTGATAGCTCCTTCAAGAACTTGGTCTTCCGCTAGAATCCACCTATTATATGGTGCGACAAACTTATGCGCAAAAGCCTTAGTTGCTAATCTCGTCTTCCACGCACGGACAAAACATATATTCGTGATCAGGTTCTAAATGGATTACTTGATATTTGGTATGTTCCTTCTAGATCAAATTGTCTCACGAAATCCTTCTCATTTACAATTTGCTTATTTACGCAACAAACTCGGGCTCATTCCTATACCTCTTGTTTGAGGGAGAATGTTGGAGAAATACATGAAACGATGTATGACGATGAATCAAAATAGCAAAGAATCAACACATCTCAGTTAGTTGCTCCCTTCGTGATCTCACAGCTAAGCACTTCAGAATATTTCATCAACTTTTCTTACTTTCTCTGAAATTCAATTAGTAGGTAACATCTCGTTTGGAAATGATTATGTATTAAATCATTTATACTATATGTTATAACTTTATGCAACACTCAAATTGTAGTTGTATCAATATTGCAATAGCTGAACCAAAATAACAACATGGATCAAAATAGAGCATTATCGAAATCCAACGATAAAAATTTAGATCTGAAACATGAGTCGACCAAATGGAATGATTTAACCGTTTAAACTTTAATTAAGGACCAAAAATGTATTTATCTCTAGATGATGTAGATCTAAACTCTTGTTGCACTATGAGGTCTTTCCAACTCAAGTAGGTTTTGATAATAACACATTTTTACTTTCTTGGCAACATTATACCAACCAAGGATATGAGGTTCAAACCTACAAAATTTACAACGGTAGATTGATAAGTTTAAATCTAAGAAGGGAACATAGTATAATGTGGCTTGCTATTCCCATTTGCATTTGATGGTATGAGTGTGCCTGAAATTATATTTCCAAAGCAAACCTCCATTCAATCTTCGAAGAACAAAGCTCTCCACCAACATATAAAGGCTAAATCTTCTCCATTCATTCTCACTTCTAATTTCTTCAACTTTCTCCACCCTCACTACTTTCTCTCCGCCGTTCTCGCCACCGCCGAACCAACCGCCCGCTTCTTGCACCCATCTCATCTTCTCGACCAACGCTACACTCAGTCCCACGGCC